TGATTATGAGAGTCAGTAGCTTGTGCTCGAAAAGTGGTCATCAGTTAATACTTACTTACTGTATAACAAACACTGTGTGACTTATCAAAATAAAATCTTATCCATAATGGAGTTATACACTCACATTATCCAGTTATAACTATTTATTGATTTGAGAAAATAATTACTGATAAAGACTTAAGTGAAATGGTATTTGCTTTGGCAGACAAACTAACATGCAGTCATTTGTCTAAAGTCGATAGGGTTAGGGTAGTAATTGTACCGAAAACCTGTAGGGCTCATAGTGTAACGGTAGAAGACGAGTTAACTTGGTAAAGAAATGTTTAGATATGATGGAGAAGATTTGTAGCTCAGGTGAATGATTTTCATGTAATTGTATTCTCTCAGCTGGATGTTTTATAGTTGCGAAGCTTTCATTGCCCTACTAGGCAACATCTTCAGCACATACTTCATTTTGATGAAGTGAGCTATTACATTTCCCCACGAGTTTATTAGTCATCTCTCCTAGTGGGTGACCTGGAACGTGATTGGTTGTTTTTGTGTTTTCACACCTTCTAGGCTACTTGTGGTATTGGAATTGGTTGTTTCCCTGACATGCAGTTTGACCCTTTCTGTGTGTGTGAGATTTCCTTCTTATCGATTGGTAAATTTTGTCTATGTCGATGTGTCTATTGATTGACGATTCACTGGAGTACCAGACAGGCTTCTAAAAATTCTCTAGCATTCTTGGTGTTTCCTATGTCTAATATTTGAACGTTGGTTGTCCCAGTCGAATTGATGTCTGTGGTTGTCTGTATGCAGCGATATAAGGGAGCGGATGTCATGTATTTTGACGGCTGGTTTATATTCCTGGATACGAAGCCGAAAGGGACGTCCACTTTGGCCAGTGCAATTTATTTACAATTTATTTTGTAGATGTTGATGTTGACTTTATCTTCTTTCGCTGTTGAGTCTTTTGGTTGACACAGAGAACACAACTGCATCAGAAAGGAATGTTTATTCGAAATTTGATATCTCTATACAGTAGGTGAATTATGTACACATATGGAAATCTCCATTTGAGCAGATCTTCTGTGTTGTCCTACTTATGCCCTTCGTATTGTGTTTATTTGTGTTTCTTCCACGTCTCCCACGTATCTATCTCCACAATGCTGTATCATTTGCTATCTCTGACATCAAATCTATCTCCCTGCTATTTGATGTTTTTAATGCCAATGAAAGTCTCTTTATATACTACTGATAAATCTCATCAGTAGCACTCGCCACAACAGCAACATATTTGGAATACTAATAATAGTATCATACTGGGTGACATTAGTTAAATTGTAGATAACTGTCCTCGGCTATCACAGTACTTCTTGAGAGGATGGCGATAATTCCGAGAAGAGACAATTATTCTATTTCCCTATTAATGATATTTTCAACAGTATACCTAGAGCAATTCAACTTCGAGAAGCGAATATTTCAAATTATCAAATTTGTTTTTGTAAGCAAAATGAATGTACATAGCGGACAAAATGAAGTGTCTGAAGTATATTTTAACTTCTCGCATTATACTACTTATGAGTAGCTAATGAAGATGAGCACAATTTCACTACTTTCCACCTCCTGGTTATTTGTTGTTCTTCATCAGTTGATGTAATGTAATTGCTATTTGAGCAGTGATAGACTCAATACACCCAACCCGTTCAGGACTATGTCTTGCTCATTATTGGCTCCAGTTGTGTAATAACAAGTGTGAAACATCTTTACAATGGGCACATATGTCCAGAGTGAATTGAGAAAGCTAATCCTGTCATTCAACATGGAAAGAGGTTAAAACATTCCAAACCACTACTCATTATAACAAAAATATTCATTCAGACATCTATAAAACACAAAATAATCGAGAAAAGAATATTCGTTTCGATAAATTCCTCTTCCGGCTCTACAATTATATACGTGTGTGTTTATATACATAGAATATTCTAGAATAGTAGTCAATAACAATATTAGTGTTTTTTAAATAATATTGATTTGTAAAATAAGATCACAGTGGAATTACAAATCATTAAAGATGCTTGAACTATAATAATAATAATAAGAGATATAATAGCAAATAGAATATCAAATAAAATTAGGAAATTTCCACAAAAATTGAGGATCATCCAAACCTAGATGGCCAAAATAATGATAATGTCTGAACTAGCTTCTTTTGGATGCACAAATTAGGCTTCTTAATATGGATCGTAAAAGCCTCAGCAATATTCAGTAATCGAACTCTTAAGGAGAAATTGAGATTTGTTGGTATGCGGCATATGACCCTGAAAGCATGATTAACATCAATCTTGTGTTCTGTCTCCACAAGATGAGACAGAATAGCGCTGCGAATAGATTTTGTTTGTCCTTTGCTTAACCACACAGGGTTATGTTCGGAAATTCGACAATAAACACGCCTAACTGTACGGCCTATGCAACTAACTGGCTCACTCCATAGGAACAGTTAAATTGGTAGATACACACGGAAGAGGCGGAATTAGACAGTTTATCTTTTACTCCCGAACGCAAAAGAGGAGTGGTTTTGAAGATACAGCGTAATTCGGCAGCAGGGAATGCTCTTTTTACCGCACTTCTAAGGCGCTGTGTTAGTATCTCACTGGTGTTATCTCCTAGGAACTGCATCTGTAAGAATGAGGCCTATTTTGGAACTGTTGGTAACTTGGGCTGCTTTGGTTTCAGATTCAGATTCTTATCAATAAACTTTTCAGGATAATCATTCTCACTTAGCAACCGTTTAATATTGTTAAGTTCCTCGTCAAGATATTCGTCCGAGCAAATCTCTCTTGCTCTGTGGACCAAGCACTTTATTAGATTGCATTTGTATTTCAAGGGCACAAAGCTGAGAAAATGTGTGTACTGGCCCTTTGATGTAGGTTTTCTATATACACTTCTTCTTATTGCGCCGTCCTCTTTTCTGGTCATAAGGAGGTCTAAAAATGAAATACTAGAGCCTTTTTCTTTCTCAATAGTAAAATTTATTGCAGGATGTACTTGATTTTATTTATCCAGGATGTTCTTTGCTTCCTTTTCGTTCTTCATAATCAAAAAATATCATCCATGTACCGACAATAAAATTCGAGTTCATTAATAACATCCTTCAAAGGCCCATTTTCTAGTTTCACAAGGAAAATGTCGGCTAGAATGGGTCCTAGTGGTGACCCCATTGTCACACCGTCGATTTGTCTTTATAGTTCCTTATTAAATAAAAAGTGGACATTCATTGTACATTTCAAGAGAAGCTCTTTCATAAAAGATAGAGGAATGCCAACATCGATGTTTCGTCTTTTGAGTTCTTTGCATACAAAGTCCACTGTTTCCATGAGTGGCACATTGGTGAATAAGGAAGATACGCCAATTGATATCATGAATTTATTATTATTATTTATTATCATCAACACTACTCATTAAGCAAGATGGGCCAAGTTAAACTTTAAGCACCACTAACTACCAATGGAGCGTGACCGCACCAATGACCTTGAAGCACTACTCACTGAGCAAGTTAGTGAAACCTGGCAAATAATTTTATCATCATCAATAAAATCTGCTCATCGAAGTGTTATGTTACTAAGTGGGATATCTGGCAAGTTTCAGCTTAGGTTTGGGAAAAATTAAGTTACGGTTTAAGCCAAGGAAAAGTTAGGGTTAGACTAACCTAATAAAAGGCGATATTAGAGTTAGTTCGAGTTAGATTATAGCTACTTTTGGGATATTTCCACGTTAGAGTTAGGTTCAGGAAAGATTAGGGTTACTGTTAGGGTTGAATTACTCTGTCGATATAATAATAGAACTTGTGCACTGTGGTAGAGTATAATTCCATTGTGGATAAAATTTATCTCGATTAAGTCTCACAATGTTATACAGGTATATTTACTGATGACGTTTCGAGCACAATCTATTGCTCAATAAATATTACTGCATAACACTATGAAACTTTATCAAAGTAAATTTTACCCACAATGGAATTACACTCTGTTAATACTCCAAACTAAAACTGAGAGCTATTTTTATCACATGTGAGAGAAAGGTATCTTCTGCAACACTTTTCTACAGTTTTTATGGATTTTTTTCATAAACATATATGTAATCCATACACAAAAATGCCTCCTTTACGTGATTGGTGGTAGTTAGTGGTGCTTAAAGTTTAACTTTGCCCAAGATGTGGTAACAGAAACTCAGCAATTTTGTGAATGACGCTCCGACATTTAAAATTATGGGTGAAAAAAAAATCAGAATTCAGTGAAAACTTGAACCCCCAATAGGATGCATATATATGTATGTCCAACTGATGATTTAGAAATAGCCTATTCACTTGTTTAGAACACGCATGGTTGTATAATATGGGTGTTACATAGTGTGAAGGCGGTTGTACCAAGGTTTAACTCCACCAGTCTTTGACTTGAAGCCCAATCAAAAAGACGGCAGGCAAAGTCAGGAGCTATGTGCCCACCGACACCAGTAACCAAAATACATGCATACGATACTCGTTCATTTTGGATGTGTTCTACAAGCTTGAAATGAGGGTTTTTCAACTCTCCTGAATGATGGCTTCATGTCCACCAGTGTTGAGTAATGGGCACTGGACGTTTGCATTCGTCTTTTTTTTAACTTTTATAACAACACCCTAATCGTTTAAAGGCAGTGAATAGGAGTTTTAACCGGCAGAGTCTATGAATGCGTGGCCATATGATGATGGCATTTAGACGGGAAGACATGAGTCTACACCGTCATTTGTTCGTAACGTGTTACTTATGGAAGAATGAATCGTGAATCCTACAGAATCAATTGCTATTATAATTACTATAAGATAATACAATGACTTCAACTGGCTCACATAGGCATGTGTTCAAGTGAGTTCAACAATACCACACAGTATACTATTCTTAGTAAACAAGGTATTACGTTTTCTTCAAAACAAAACAAAAAATCCGGCTAAAAGACAAGTAATATTTCCATAAACTTACCAAAACTTCGATTAATTTCACTACATGTTCCATATCCCCATTGATTGCAGCCACATGTAATGGTGTTTCACCTTTCATATTAGTCTAAAAATAGGAGAGTTTGGAAAAAATTAAACAACCCTGCACATGAATCGATTAAAACAGAAAAACTGGCTTAGCGAGTTAGGGTGGGTGGCGTTGGCATGGTTGACGAACACTCTACCGCTGTGCCACCGACGTACAATAAAAAAAGAATAATGCAAATTACTTTTTAGATAAAAAAATAATGACAGGATATCGAAAATTGAATCAGACACTTGGCAGAAGCTAGAATTCATGGCCTGGCCATTGAGTCAGGTCCCAGTGGTACCTGAATAGTCTAAAAGATTGCCTTGTAATTGGAAAGTCCTGGGTTCAAACCCCATTGGTGGGTGTGTACTGCCGATGAGTCTCAAACAGCTGACTGTCCAGTACTCCCTGTAGCCGGTTGGTTTCCAATGGTTTTCTAACTCATATCAATCCGTAATCAAACTTGAGATTTTCGAAGTATTGATTAGATCAGTTTTACTACGATCACAGTGTTTTTCTTTTCTAATTTATTGCTGAGTGAAAGACAAACATTCATCTATATGGGAATGATATCTCACATAAAACGTCGATTCTCAGTTTCCACCTACTAGTTGTGATCGGATAGAGAAAACAAAGCAACTGAAAGCAACAAGGTTGTATAGCAGCAAAGCAGGTGTGAAATCATCGATCCCAGAAAATATATATCTAATGGACAAGCAGTAAACTGCTACCCAAGAAGTCTGAAAATCCTGTATTTGACACTATGCATCGCGCCATAGATGCACACTACTGACGAGAATAAGATTATGACGAAACAATTATTCTAGGGCATAATATGTTTCTTCAGTCAGTGTTCATTTGTGACAGAAACTACTTTCATCCAATCAGCTAACAACTAAACAGAAACCACACTTCAGTAACAACAAACTAATTCGTTTTCTTTTTCAAGCCTTAGTTTGCAGGGATTTGATTGGTTAAAAGGTTTGATCACTAGCTCATAGAAAATTTCCATTGTAACATATTCAGTGAAGAGACTCTTCTCAACGAATTTATCATCAAGCTGTACAAGTTATATCCGGTGAGAGAATTGAATCATACGTTTGACTGCATAAAGTAATAATAATAGTAGCATGAAATACAATTAAAACTAAAATGTTTGTGATTATAACCATAGTTATATCTTTTGGGGAAAATCCTAATAGAAAATGGATTTCCACCACGTTTTATGGATAAGAACATACATTCAAATGCTATAGAACGTGACTTATCATCCGTACCCAAGAAACTACTTTACATGAGCTTGGAATTCAAAGGGGACTTAGCTTCCGATATCATGAAAAGAAGGATATCACAGTCCCTGAAAAGAACATTCCCTACTGCATCTTTAGGAATAGCCTTTACCAGTCGATCATTACTGTTCAATAACCTGAAGGATAAGATCCCACTGTTGACCAACTCTATGTATATTTATCAATTCACCTGCTCGTATGGAGCTATCGGTCGTTTGACTCGAGTTTTGTCCAAGAGGGTGCAAGAACACTATCCTGCATGGTTACGAAAAGGTGGAAGTGGAGCAATAAGAAGCGCGATCATTGAACATCTGGTCGATAATGATCACCCTATCTCTATAGCCTCCGCCTTCAAAGTCATCTACAAGGCAAAGAGTAATCTACCCAAATCCCTACGTACCCGACTCATCTGTATTGCTGAAGCTTTGGCTATCGAAACAGAAAAGCCAGATCCCTGTGTACAGAAAAAGTTCGTTCAACCCCTCCAACTTTCATGGTCTTAATCCCTCTATGCTAAAGTATGGTAATCCCCAATCATATTTTAGCTCTACCAATTTTTCATTTTGTCTATTCAATTTGTATACTCTTCCTTATTACGTCAATTGTTACTATTACTACTCTCATTTTGATTTGTCCCCGGTATCATTTCACTTGTTCCACTTGTCATTCTAAATCAATTCTTTTTTACAACGTTAAATTCTGTTAGCAAATTTCATACAATATTAACGTAACGTTTTTATTTTATTCGATTTGTCTACTAATCCTATAATTGCACACTTTTTTTCAAGTTCTATCCATCCTATGAATTATTCGATATATGTGACATTAATTGTTCTGCTACTTGACATTTAACTATGACTTCTTAAAAACCGAGTAAATATACGATTGTACAGCTTGATGATAAATTCGTTGAGAAGAGTCTCTTCGCTGAATCACCACTTGTTTTGATTTTCTATATGATTACTAGCTGACATGAGTTTTGAATCACTGGAGAGCCGGATAATACTACTGGACAGCTGTTCCATCCAATGAAAGCTTTACAGTCAAAGTATTCAGTCAAAAAAAAAGCAGTACAACAGTATCAAAACAAAAATCATCACAAAACAGCAATGACCTTATTGTCCATTCCAGCTAATTGTGACATCCTAGTCCGTTGCTATGATGTTTCAATGACAAGTTATATTTCTAAAAATGTTTTTATCTGATGTTATACTCTTGAAATGAGTTAAGTTTGATGAACTTTTATCAGAGAATGTTGTGTGATACTGATATGTGCTCAATGTTACGGATTGAAGGAGGTAGTAGGTTACAAAAGTGAAATTATTATATGATGATAAGACTGTACATATAAATTGCGCAATTAGTCACAATAATAATAATAATAATAATAATTCAATCAGTAACAAGGATGGAAATGTGAAGCGATCTGTGATAAAAAAAAAGAATAACGAAAAACAGCATGATTGAACAAATGAATTTAATTGAATTTTAGATTTTCCCGTTGATTGATACGACCAAAGTGGTCCGTCTCAGGTTGACATGTCTGTCGGCTTCTTGTGCACATGCTTCGGTGATGTCTGGGCATGTAATTAGAATTTAATTGGTGGATGGTGACTGGCAGTGGAATCCAGGATGCGTGTTTCGTCCTATTTGGGACTCGTCACTGGATGTACATGCATTCCCCAGTGAGTGATGACGTTCCCACTGATCTAATGGATAACACCTTGGCGTTTGAAACTATGGGCACTGGGTTCAAGCCTCGGTCGGAACATCATCACTCACTTGCGAATACAGGCACATCTAGCTGATGAGTCCCAAATAGGACGAAACACGCATCCTGGATTCCACTGCCAGTCACCATCCACCAATTAAATTTGAACAAATAAATGTTCAGGTAGAAATAGTCGATAAAGGCTAGGAAAACCAAATGAACCGATTACATAATGCTAGACTGATTGTAAGGGAAGTAAATGAAACACGTTTTAAGGAAGATGTGATAGGATTAAGGGATGATAAAAGAGGGTTTGAAAATATAAGCAAGGGGTGGGTGATGGAGACATCATCAGTTGGTTAGGTCTTAATAGGCCAATAAGGGAGGGATAATGGCTGTACGAACTTCTTTTGAATGAGCATAGTTTAGGCTTAATAGTTGTTCGAATGCCCATGGCCTCAGCTCTGTGTGCAGTAGACGAATACGAAGTCTATCGGAAAGATTCGGTGGGATGCGGTGAATTACCTTGAATACTCTCGTTTTCTCCACTGCATAAACGTGACAAAATGGAGCTATGGATTGTTTTTAGCTATCCTTCGCCAAACCACGACGGGAGATGTTCAGTAACACGTTGGTTGGCTAAACTGTCTAGTACTAGTAGGCCTAACATAACTGTCACCGCAGGTGCAGTTGAATTGATAAATGCACACAGATGTGTGGCAAAACTATCTAGCTATCTATGCTTCACTTGCATCTCAATCATTCGTCGGCTAGAGAATGACAAACATACGTTCGCTAAGTAATACATCATTTATATATTATTGATTTTTCATGAAATCATGCTAGTGTACTTTGGCCTATTTATTGAAACGCTCTAATACCCACCGGATAAAACAGGTGGTGCCACTTCATCAAAAAAAGAAAAATATACCCTATAAAATCTCCAAATATACATATAGTAATATCTTACTTTTAAACAAATCGCCTTCCCAGACTTTTTACTTCGAGTACCGTCTTGAAATTCATCTATAAGCTCTGTATTCCCGATACACTGTTCAAGTTCTAAAGAGATATTTATTTTTCAATAACAAAGAAATAACATTGTTATTTGTGGGAATGAATTTTATACAATATCATGGGGAAGAATATTCAGTAGCGTACAAGAATCGGTAAGCAAAAGAAAAAAACACACACGCTGAACTGGTAAACTTCACATTGGTTAGCTGAGATGTGATGAACTACGATGAACACAGTTGGGTGAAGAGACCTGACCCCAGATAGGCTAATCATTACAAATAGACGATTGGGAGAAATTCATGCTCTTCTAACGAATAAAGTCGGTAGCATAGTTGACATCAGACAAAATAACTAACTCCATTAGGTTTTACCTACCACTGCATCTCAACACCAAGGGACTAGATTTATCATATCCAATAAAATTCTATTGTTCCTCGTCCATATTACTATTCGTTTTCACTCACTCACATGTCTGTTTATTATCTCTCTTCTCTCTCTTCGTTGATGAATCTCTCTTTACTCTCTTCTCTTGGTATGTGTGCTACAAGGGGCGGGGAAGGGGGGTAGTGCGACAACTCGAACTGCTTCACACATCTGTACAAAGTTCTATGTTGAAGCCAGTCAGTCAGTCAATGTCAACGACTAGACGTATGACATTGTCTACTCTCTACTGAAGAATCAATGTACCTACTTGTAGCCATAGTGGAAGTTTATCATGAGCTCGAATACCTCAGTGGTGACGACGACTCTGACTGCAGCATTGGGTGACACGGGTTCCAATCACAGAGGGAACATTGATCCCTTCAAAGTTGCAGATATCCCTTGCTGACCAATGTCAGCAAACACGAAATCCAGGTGTCCAGGGTTACCTTCAACCGTCTGACATTAACTTATCACTGTAATTATACACCGAACACCAGGTCGGGTATGAATAACCGTCCCTGGATATCAACCAATATAGCTTATGTATATTTGGGAGTTATTTAGTAGATAGTTCTGTTTAATCTACCTTCCCCCGACGGGCATTACTAGCTGATATAGGTGCAGGTTGGTTGGAAAAGAGTAAGTGGTGCCATGCCAAACAAAAACATGGCATCAATCAATCCATGAAATCCTTGACAGTTAAACTGAGTCAGATAGGGAGGGAAATGCAGATTTCCGGGTTGGGGCCCGCCCTCGGGACTCTAAGAATCAATCGCTGGAGACACTACGTGACATGGCTCAAAATCGTTGTCAATGGTTTACGCAGATGTATTCAGTCTCTGTAATCTTTCATATTCCTTTGTACCATTACTCATTCTGTTTCACTCTTATACTCGTCAAAACTCTATTGATTCTCTTCACTCATCTTCTTGTCTACCTTTGTGTGCTATTTGGAACGTGGTAACTGGAACTGCTGCACTTCGGTGCCAAGTTCTATGTTGAATCCAGCCAGCCCATCTACCTTCCCTGATTATTATTATTATTAATCCTCAGAAAAATATTGTGGTGATGCTTTAAGATTTCAAAATGTGTTGTTTCGTGCCAAAGTCACAACTAGCTCATGTTGTGGTGAGAGCTGGCTGCTAGCCAAAGTTGGTAGACAGTAATTGACGTCTATGTTTATGTCCCCAATATTGATGGTGAGAAAATGATGAGAACAAAGGCTTTGCGTAGGCGGATACAATTAGCATAGGGATGATCTGACACAGCCACAAAGAGATGCAAGGTTAACTTTCTGTGAGAAACAACCAATCAAAAGACTGTCTTTTCCACTAACAATAATCTACAATAATGTACATTAAAATCTATAAATCTGTGTTGATTTTCCTTAATAAACGATCTGTTGCCTGGCCCTTGTCTTCTATTGTTACATTCCCTGTTGGTTTTCCAATGCATACTACTGATGAGCCCCCAAACTAGGCTGACGAAACAGCTGGTTGTCTAGTACTCCCTGTGGCTGGTTTTCATCGGTTCTCTAACTGTGATATCAATCCATGGTCAAACTTGAAACTCTTGAGAACATAAATTTGTCCTAATGACGTCACACACTATATATCAGTCATTGGACATCCTGGTGTGGTGACACTAGTGCAGAGAAAAGACGCCAATTAAAATTAAGGCAATACAATAAAAATAACTAACCTGAATCTGATGAAAGGGATTCTAAAAATTGAGTTACGGTGTCATCATCATCATCATCACTCTCTGCTTCTTCTTCTTCTTCCTCTTCAGCATCCCCTTGATCTTTTTCACTTTCTGCTTGTGAACAGGCTGCCTGGTCAATTTTTTTCAATTCCTCGCGTATTGTATAGGCTTTATCTGTATAATTATACTGTTCATAGTAATCCAACAATTCTCGTAAACAATCACCCTAAAAAAAAAATCAATATTAGGAATTTAACACGTCAATAAAACAGACAAAAAAAAGGAGGCAATATTAAATGAGTCTTTTTATTTGACTAAGAAAGCTAAGCTAAAAATGGACTGTGGCACCAATAAAGTTAAAAAAAATTCAAGTTAATATTGGACCAACATTTTGCGTCGGTGGTTAGGTGATAGAATGCTCACCAACTATGCTCATGGTCCGGAGTGTGATCCCTAACCGACTCATCGTTAAACTCCACTTAGCCGAGAAGTAAGTCCAGTAAAGGGGGAAGGTTGGGCGTGAAAAAAAAAAGATGAACACCACTGCTCTTAGAACTCCGAAGCTCAAAGCTTGAATCCATATGTTCCACATGGAACGAAAAGAAATAAAATAAAAATCAGAAAGAATAGATCAAAATGTAGCATTTATTGATTGACTGTCTGTGTGATGATATATGAATTGGTGCTGAGGAACTCTTTAGTTGTCATTTGCAAGATAACTGGAAGTGATAGTCAGCAGTCATTGTGGACATTATTGAAAATCACAGAATCTTATAATTTATTTACCCACTTTTTCTTTCATTCTAGAAACTTCAATCACACTACTAAATTGATATTACAATTTACCTACATACCATAAACACTCTCATATATGTATGTCAGTTTAGACATTCCCGTCGATTGATTCGGCCAAGGTGCTCGGTGTCAGGTTGAAATGTCAGCTCCTTGTGTAGATACTTCGATGATGTCTGGGAATTAACTTGTAGTAATTTGATGGCTGGTGACTAGCAGTGGAATCCAGGATGCCTCAGTGGGAACATCATTACTCACTGGGGAATGCAGTTACATCCAGATAACGAGTCCTAAATAAGACGAAATGCGCGTCCTGGATTCCAATGCTAGTCGCTATCCACCAATTGCCTTCAAGTTACGTGACCAGACATCGCTGAAGCACCCACACAAGGAGTCAACATGTCAACTTCAAGCCGAGTCCAATCAATCAACGGGAAAATCTAAGCTGACTTAAATAATTAATAAGACCGGTTGCACAAGAGGTGGCTCTCGCGGCCCAAGTGGTCTGGTGGATAACGCTTCGGCACTGGGTTCGAGCCTCGGTGGGAACACCATCACCAGCCGAGATAGTAAGCCCAGTAAAGGGGGAGAGTTGGACGTGAAAAGCACCACTGCTACCAAAACTTCACAGCTCAAAGCTTGAATCCTTATGTTCCACATGGAACGAAAAGGAATAGATTAGAAATCAGAAAGAATAGATCAAAATGTAGCATTTATTGATGATTAATTGTCTGTGTGATGATAATATGAATTGATGCTGAGAGGGAGAACGTGCTGAGGAACTCTCTCTCTCTCTGTCTAGTTGTCATTTGCAAGATAAGTGGAAGTGATAGTCAGCAATCATTGTGGATATTATTGACAATCACAGAATCTAATAATTTTATTTCCCTCATTATCGTGTTGCCAAATCTTGCTACCGATTTTTTCCTTCATTCTAGAAACTTCGATCAAACTACTAAATTAACATTAGAACTAATCTACATATACCATAAACATTCTCATATGTTCAAGTCAGTTTAGATTCTCCCGTCGATTGATTGGGCTGAAGTGCGCCATTTTAGGTTGACATGTCGGCGGCTCCCTGTGCAGATGCTTTGAGGATGTCTGAGAATTAACTTGTAGTAATTTGATGGATGGTGACTAGCAGTAGAATCCAGGATGTGCATCATCTCGTCCTATTTGTCACTTGCGTCCAGGATTCCTCTGCTGGTCACCATCAACCAATTGGCTTGAAGTTACATGACCTGACATCGTTCAAGCATCTGCAAAAGGAACTGACATGTCAACCTGATAACGAGCACTTCAGCCCAATCAATCGACGAAAATATCTAAACTGACTTAATTAATTCGTATGACATGTTGCACAAGAGGTGGCTTTCGTGGTCTAGTGGATAACGCTTTGGTGTTTGAGACTATGGGCACTGGGTTCGAGCCTCGGTAGGAACACCATCACTGACTCACTGCGGAATCCAGATACATCCAGCTGACGATTAGTCCCAAATAGGACGAAATGCGCATCCTGGATTCCACAGCTAATCATCACCAAGCAATTGATTCTCATATGTTGTTCCACATATTATCCACAATGAACTTAAGTATGTTAAAACTGCAATAGAACTATTAAATTGATGATATTAGATAGTTGAAGGCAGTCCAACAGTCCTACAGGAGGTCAATCGCGAGCCAGCCCGAATAGCCAGCTCAGTGGTAACGTCTCTGACTGTAGCACTGGGTGACAACGCAGGTTCGAATCTCAGAAGGGACATGAGTTCCTTCAAGGTTGCAGATACGCCTTGCTGATGAGTGCCAACTAGCACGAAACCTAGGTCAAGCAAGGCTACCTGCCAATTGCCTCCAACTATCTAATGTCATCAAATCAATGTGCACGGTGATGACGAGCTACCTAGAATGGTGGCAACATTGCAAAACCTGACTGATAGAATTCAGTCCGCACCAAAGAAAGGACTAGACACGTCACACTAGTTACTAGTGTCCAATGCAAAGAACTATTAACTTTCATTAATCAGGCATCGGTCGTACAGTGGTTAGGACGTTCACCGACCATGCACATAGTCCGGGGTTCGATCCCCGGCCGACAACGCACTCCTTAACCTCGCTAAGCCAGAAATAAAGCTGGTAAAGAGGAAAGGTTGGGCATGAGGCTAGCAACCCCATCCTGTAAAAATAAATACCACTGCTACAGAAAATTCAAGCCTCTAGCCTTAAGCCCTATGTTCCACTGGGAACGTGAAGGAATAAAAGAAAAAGTCAGGTTGTGTGTACTTGAGATACTGACGAAATAAAACGAATCCGTTTTATCCTACTCCGTTTGTTGTAATTACTTTGTTTAAATTCACCAATGGGGAAAATTGAACATCAGTCATATGCTTGTTATTCTTTTATTTAAGTTCAATGTTTCACTATTGAATAGGTTTAATTTTCTGTCTTTAGTTAAACGTACATTTTTTAAAAATTGTTTCACTATTTCCAATATGAGCATCAACCTTTTGATTAGACTGTTGCTGTTGACTTATCCATATACCGGTTGAATTTATGACTGAATTTCAGACATAAGGTTAATAATCACATCGAAATCTACGTGGCTTTATTATTCTACTGTATATGGTTAACAGTAATTCCAGGGACTGGATAACCATTGGACTTTGCCCTAACGGCTGACGTTTCCGATTTTAGTCATCACTACTACACTGAAAAATGTAGCTTATAACAAGTGGAAGGTAAATAATCAAGATGTCCAGTACATTAATCTGAATGACTGGCTAACTGACTTCTCAACGCAGACCTTTGTAAAAAGAATAACTACATGAAGAATCATGAGAATTTAATGGATCTGGGAGGTTACAAATAGTGAATCCATCTCCACCAGTGATAAAGATTTTGAGCCATGTCATCAGCACAGTCTCAGGCCATTCATTTTTAGTCCATCCAGGAATTCAACTACACGATCTACACCTCTCTCTCTCTAAAACTCAAGCCAACAGTCAAAAAATAGGTATTTAATTACCTACCCGTAACTTTTCTCAAAACTAATCTTATGTTAGCTAATATTGCACAATGAGGAAGAAGATGGGTTGGCATACCCCTAACACACGTGTCCTAGACATCTCAATCAGTGCAACGGCACAATCTGGTTGATCAACTTTCTTGCCGTCTTTCTTTCTTTACCTAACACTACACACGCTTAACCTCGATATTACTGATCAGATTAAATTGACAACGATGGACCTCTTTTGAAACCGAAGTGATGAGACTTTCTGTCTGTCTGTCTGTCTGTCAACATAGAACTTTGCATCGATGTGCAGCTGTTCAAGTCGCCACACTCCCTCCATGTTGAGCACACAAAGCAAGTATATTTAAACGCAGAAAAGCTTGGTACAATATGGCACCAAGAAAGATGCGCCACACAATAATAATAAAACAACATAGATTAAAAGTAAAAATATAAGTAGAAAACGGATAAAGAACTTCATCAGAAAGGAAAACAGTCATGTTTAACAAGTTCAAACAGTATTCGTTAACTATCATCAGGAAGGGAAGAAAGAAGGAAATTGCAACACGACACAGATAGGTTAGGAATCCAGACAAAGGCGAAAGGCTGTCGAAGGTTAAGAAGTCAAGGTGAGCAAAGGTAAAATACAGGAAACTAAGTATAAAAATAAAAGTAAGGTTGGAAAGAGATGTGTTACTTGAGACATCATTATTGCTTGAACGCATTGTTACGAGCGCGCGATAAGTTCCACTGATATTTTGTTGCTTTATTTCATTCATTGTGTGAGGGCTGAGATACTGCCCGGGCGCCCAGACCGAAGCAGGTGGTTTTATTAAGGGACCACCCCCCGAGCCTTTGACTTGGAGTCTAATCCGCAAGGCAGCGGAGTAGCGTCAGGTGCTGCGTTCCCATGGTTGCCGGTGACCCATATGGGTTCGTACGCCATTTGATCCGATTGGATTCTGGAGCCCATGTACCCCATGGTAACTGCTTTTAGTCTAACCGCTATCCAAAAAACCTTCCTGGCATGGTAGGACCTGCAGGGACATGAGTCCCAGCCAGTTTCGCTTGTTGGGTCACTGCGGCATTCAAGCCCGACCACCACGGCAAGGTAGCAGAAATGAAAGATACAGGCAGTAAACAGGGATATGAGACAAAAGGAATCCTAATAACGAAGAACAATATAGTTTCATTGGAGATTACAAGTCACAAGGAGTGGATGCATGTGTGCTAGCCATTGAGAACGATTTTGGGCCATATCACCGATTTTCTCCAGCTTCCATTAGTTTTTACCGTCCCGAGGACCCCAACCCGCCAACCAGGAAGTCTACACCTCCCAACGTGGCTGGCTTGAACAAATTGTTGTGGATTTCACTAACTAGTGAAGTCGTGTTTTTGTTTGACCACCACTGGCTCTTTTCAAACCTGATCCTATGTCAATCAGCTAATGTTGCCCGTCAAGGAAGGCGATAGCTAGGCATGCATGTGTAACACATGTCCTAACCATCTCAGTCGATGTAGCTTCACAGCCTCGTTGATTGATTTCCCCTCCTTACCTAGCACTCAACAGATGCTTAACCTGAATATTGCTCCCCCTATTACACCTACCACTTCACACGGGAGATAGAACGCAGGCACCCATGATCAAAAACAGCTAGCTAGTCATTTCATGTCTTTCACTCTCAATGGCCAGGTCTCACGAGCAGCGATAAAGGAGGACGGAGTGGACTACTGAGCAGTACACATATCCTTTGGTCGATAGCCAGCCGGATATCACGTTTACTAAGCCAGAGAGACGGCATAAACTGGCATATGTGAAGCCAGCCCTCGGTATCCGTGCTGAGATTTCATCAGCGATCAACCCGTTGGCTGAGATGGCTAACAAATGCAAGCAACCTTTTGTATTGTCGCCGCCATGTAGTTTCTGTTATATATATACTTGAATCATTTATCTAATAGGTATAATCATTCGAAACATAACGAAGATCTGAAGTATAAATATGTATTAGTCATTAAAATAGTTTCTTGAGTTAATGAGAAAAGAAAATCAATAAAATTAGTAGAAAAATCGGAAATAGCCTGAAGGGGCTCTTTGCATTCGAAAATCGAGGATAAACAACAGATAGGTAAATCTGCAACTTACAATTAAAGATGTAGAACCAACGAGTTTAGAAGTTTTGTGCGCGGACAATAACGAATCCAATACAGTCTCTGAACCATTCAAAGTAGTCTTCTGATTAGTTTCAGAACTGTCTGTATGCTGAATAGTCGACGTATTGGTGTTTGGCATTAAACGTTGAGCCTGTGCTAGACTCAACCAACTTGTAACCATATCACTTGTAGATAAACCAGTAGAAGTAGCCCATAAAATTTCACGTCTATACATTTCTACGCACTGGTCATAGTAAGTAAGTGCACGATATGTTTCAGCGATAGATATGAGAGCAGCATCGACTAATTTAACAATATCGTCAGGAACAACAACACCTGGTATAGACTGTTGTTTATAAGCCAGTTCTGAAAATCCAAGCTAAAAAAAATATATTAAGAAACGTATGTAAATGTGTTAGTTTATATCTGAGCTGTTGCTTAGTGAACAATTACAATCTGTATAATTTGAAGAAAATACAAGTCATTAATCTCGTACAAGGAACACTCCGAATCATATTAAAAGCTTCCAGGCAAACGGGAGCTGCAGATAGACTACAAGCCAAGTTCAATACTAAAAACTGAAGGAACAGGATACAAAGGATATCTTCACCACAAACATAGGGAAAAAGGCGGAGATACAAATCAACACTAGAGAAGAGACCAGCGTTGAAAAACACTGGAACATCCTGAAAGCGATGTGGAATCAAACTTTCATGGAAGTTCTAGGCAGAAAGAAGAGACAGGACAAACGGCGGCTCACTACGGACACAAGGAGACTAATAGAAGAGAAGGATGGTGAAACAAAAGATTATCCGGTGTGTCGACGAGCATCAAAAGCAGAAGTTGAATGCAAGCTACAATACACTGAACAAAAGAGTAAAGAAGAGTACCAAGGAAGACAAAATAGTCGAACCTTCAAAACAGCATAACTAAATTGGATAAATGTAAGTGTACCAAAAAAGGGGGTGGGGGTTGGCTTGTGTTTCTAATTCAATTTTGATTTTCGCTTTAGTTGATCAAACCGAAATATCCAGCCTCTGTTGTGAAACATGAGCTCCTAGTACTACAGTCTGATGGATTGTGACTAGCAGCAGAATTCAGGATGCGCATTTCGTCCTACTCGGGACTCGTCATCTGGATATAACTGCACTCCCAATGAGATTCGAACCCAGTACCCACTGTTTTAAACGCTGAAGTGCTATCCCCACTAAACCACTTTGTTCATGTGAACCACCCTTCGTATAACGCGCATGGGAACTGAATTCGAGTCTCAGTGAGGACATTACCATTCGCTCACTGAGATTACAGGTATGTCTAGTTGGTGAGTCCCAAATAGGTCGAAATACGAGTTGTCCTGGATTCCACTGTTAGTCACCATCCACCCTGAATTGAATCCAATCCCTAAAAACTGTGAACATCATTAAGTCTCCTTGGCATGGTTTTTTTAACTTCAAATCATAACCGACGAGGTCTAACACGTCGGCTGTGAAGATACAAACCACTGATGACACTGTCTACTACCATAGAAATTATAAAGTACTGAATTCCAGCCAAAGTGATTGAGTAGTAACATGCCCACCGCTTAATCTGACAGTCCCGTGTTCTATCCTTCACAGGATTCGTGAAGGTTCACTGACCACTTCAAAGAAATCTAAAAGAACATCTCGACAGATAATGCTGTGTCGTGTGCTTCTGACAAAATTTATCAGCAGTATATAAAGAAACGTTCATCGGCACAAAAATATCAAATGGCCGAGAGCGAGCGAGAGAGAGAGAGAGACAGATTTGACGTCAAAGATAGCAAATGAACCAGTGTTGCGACACAACATGGGAGACATGAAAAGAAGGTAAAGAAACACAATACGAAGTGGGGCAAAAATAGCACAGCACTAAAGATATATGCAAATGACGTCATTTGCATTTCGGTAATATAGCGGTCGGTCGGTCGGTTTTCGACATAAAACTTTGCACATATGTGCGGCAGTTCAAGTCGCCACACTCCATGTAGCACACAAAGCAACAGAAGAAAGTAGGAGAAATGCATAATATAGACAGTAAACAGAGGTGTGAGACAAAGGAATAGTAATAACGAAGAACAAAACAGTTTCATTGGAAATCATAAGTCACAAGGAGTGGATGCATCTGCGCCACTGAGAACGATTTTGAGCCATGTCACCAATTGTTTCCAACCATTGGTTTTTACGGTCCCGAGGACCCCAACCAGGAAGTCTACACCTTCCTACGTGGCTGGCTGGCTTAAACTAACTGTTGTGGATTTCATTGACTGGTGCCATGTTTTGGTTTGACCGCCGCTAGCTCTTTTCCAGCCTGGCCCTATATCAGCTAACATTGCCCGTCGAGGAAGGCGATGACTAGGCATACGTAACACATGTCCTAACCATCTCAGTCTATGTAATTTCACAGTCTCGTCGACTGATTTCCCCGCCTTACCTAGCACTCGACGCCTAACCTCAATATTGTTCACCTTATCATACCACTTCACGCGGGAGATAGAACGCAGACACCTATGATCGAACACAGCTAATCTTTTCATGTCTTCTGCTCTCAATGGCCAGGTCTCACAGCCAGCCATAAAGGAGGACGGAGCGGACTGCTGAGCAGTACACACTCCCTTTGGTCGATAGCCAGCTAGATATCACGCCTACTAAGCCAGAGACAGTGTAAACTGGCATAAGCGAAGCTAGCCCTCGGTATCCGTGCTGAGATTTCATCGAAGATCAACCCGTTAGGGCTGATGGTACTTCCCAAGTAAGTGAAGCGGTCAACGTGCTTTACCACTTCACTTCCTATTTCTAATCTAGGGGTCGGTGAAGTCCAATCCTGCAGCATCATCTCACATTTTATAGGGGTGAATCGCATGCCAAACATACGAAGATTGTTGCTCAAGGTGTTCAGTAAACTCTGCATTTTGTCAGCGTCCTCACCTAGAAGGACTATATCGTCCGCATATCCTAAGTCGACGAGATTATTCCCTGGTAGCAAGTCAATCCCTGAGTCGCTGAAGTGTGTTAGGGTTAAGTCCATTAGTACGTCTATGATGAAGTTAAATATGAATGGGGATAATGGGCATCCTTGACGGACGCCACTAGTCGCCACCAATTCAGATGACAACTCGCCGTTAGCCCTTATCTGGCTGCATGAGTACGAGTAGAGTGCCTTAATCAGTGCAATGTATTTTCTTGGCATTCCCTTTACAGCCAAGCATCGCCAGAGTACCACTCGGTCGACAGAATCGAATGCCGCCTTTAGGTCAAGAAATATAATGATTGTCGGACGCCGGTGGAATGCCTATGTGCTAGAATCTGTCGAAGGGTGAATATAGCGTTAACCAGTTCCAAATAAACATTCGCGTTACCAAGTCTCTTGCCTCTTCCAACGTCACACAATGCAACCTCGAGCCGTTATACAACTACATAAATTGCCTAAAACACATTTTTAAAAAATATATATCGAGTTAGCTCACCATGAACTGATAATGTCTGAGTGCACAGCCTTGTAGATCGATACCAGAATAAAGATCGCCTAGCTTTTCATGAATACGAGAAGCTGCAATAAAGTCATGCACAGTAGACACTTCATTTGGAATTTCGTTGAATAGATTCATAAGTCGAAAACCTTCAAATAAAAATATTATTATTATAGACAATTACCTTTCTTCATCATGCTAGTGTACTGTTTCGAGGCAGTCGGAGATTCTATCTTCAACAATCGAAATATCTTGATCGCTTTACGACTATTCCCGTCACAAAGATATATCTAAGCATTTAAAGTAAATGAATTTGTAGGAGGTTAACAAACAAACCTGAGCTAATAACTCCTTTAGATTTCCACACAAAAGTTTAGCTTCATTATCGACATACGGTTTTGCTAGAGGAGAGGAGAGAGCAGACCTAAATTGTCTCCAATAAAGATTAAGTATCCCAACTTACCGAACGATCTCCAAGGCTTTTTCTGTTCCACTCTGTTTGATCAATTTAAGGAATACAGACCGAGAGCACGGTTGAAAGGTATGCATTGCGACTTTATTCATTAGCATTTCACCAGCTTGATATGCAGCACGAAATAGAATTTTCTGTAAGCTATGCTTTCGTGCTAATGTGATGCATTGTGTAAAACTTTCTAAAGCTGCATTATGATTGTGTTGTGCACGTTCAACATGACCTGGGGGGGGGAAGATTTAGACAATGAGATAATACAAAATATACTCTCTCTTACCAAGGTTGAGCAGTGACACGGCACGCATTTCAGCAGAACTTTTAGCATCCAGATTAGGAGATAAATCTTTAATAAGTTTTATACTATTCACTAGTGCTTGACTGGCTGACTTTAAACTCTTGACAACTAAAGGACCATCTTTTAAAGTGTCGACACGATTCAGAAAACATCTTCCCAGTGTTACATAGGCTCTTTGTTGTTCCATTTTATTGTCAATAATTTGCGACAATTGAAGATATCGATTTGTATGAATAATTGCCTGAGTGAAATCGCATAACTCAATATAACACTCAGCTAGGTATCTGTTAGCTATTGCACACTGAAGATTGTCCTCTTTCGTCTCCCATATCTCTAGATACCTTTTGTATTCAACTAGTGCAGAATCATGACAACCTAATTTACAAGGCTATAGATTTTTATTGATAAGATATTTTTACCTTGTTCAGAATAAATTGCTGCTATCATTAAGGTTAATTCAGCTCTTTCTTTGGTAATTTTTGTTTTAGCGCGTTGTTCTATTAGTTCTAAAACAAACCATTGATATAAAATGACAACAAAAAAATTACTTTTCACATTCATTTTTAATGCATGTGAAATGATTTTATGTCCATACAAAAAAGGATCAGTCGAACATACGCAGCCGAGTTACAGTAAATGCAGTTACTTGACTGAATTGAAAAATCGTTGCATATTCACCGTGAAGAATATAGACCCCTTAGAAAGAAAACAAAAACAAAACCACAAAACAAATTTAGAGGTGATAGGATAAACACAAACACGGAAAACAGGAAAATATTTGCAATATATATAAGGCTAGAGCTAGTATATGCTCTTCCATTTAAAGTATAAGAAATTACTTTCAATAAACAATTACAACAGGCATGGTGTTGTAAGGAAATATCAGGCTTAAGGAGGTGACTGACTGACTGACTGGTTTCAACACTAAACTTTGCACAGATGTGTGCAGCAGTTCAAGTTGCTACACTCCCTTTATGTTGGACACACGAAGCAAGAGAAGAGAGTAGAGAGGGATTCAAAACAGGGATAATAAACAGAAATATGAGGCAAAAAGAATAGTAATATGGAAGAACAATAGAATTTTATTGGATATTATAAATCACAAGGAGTGGATGCATCTGCGCCAGCCACTAAGAACGATTTTGAGCCATATCACAAATTGCCTCCAGCTGCCATTGGTTCTTACCATTTCGAGGACCCTAACTAGCCAGCAAGTCTACACCTCCCTACGCTGCTAGCTAGCTGGTTCAAACGAACTGTTGTAAATTTCATTGACTGATGAAGCCATGTAATGGTTTGACCACCACTGACTCTTTCCCAACTTGATCAATCCTATGTCAGCTAACACTGCCCGTCGAGGAGGGCGACGGTTGGGCAGACGTAACACATGTCCTGACCATCTCAATCGATACAGATGCTTCACAACCTCGTCGACTGATTCCCTCGCCTGACCTAGCACTCGATTGAAGCCTAACCACAATATTGCTCACCCTATTATACCACCTAACACGGGAAATAGAATGCAGACACCTATGATACAAGACAACTAGCCAGGCCTTTTCATATCTTCCACTTTCTGTGGTCATGTCTCACTAACAGTCATAAAGGAAGACGGAGAGAACTACTGCTAAGCAGTACACACACACCCTTTGGTGGAAAGCTAGAGATAGCATAAGTTGGTATATGCCAAATGAGCCTTCTACATCCATGCTGTGATTTCGTCAGCGATTAACCCACTGGGCTGGTTGATGCAACCTCCCACAAAATAAGTGAAGTGGTCAACACGCTCAGCCACCACTTTACTCCGGCGTATCTTTAAGCTATGAGTGAGTCAGTGTAGTCCAGTCCTATGGCCTCATCATCTTACATTTGACAGTAGGAGCAAATCGCATGCCAAACATTCGAAGATAGCTACTCCTCAAGGTGTTCAGCGTCTTCACCTAGAAAGACGCTGACAAAATGTAGAAAGTACCAGTTAATTGCTATTCTGTACCAATTTCATGAAGCTAACAGCTGACTAAGGGAGAAATGAATATTTAATTGTCAGTGACTGACACAAGTTTACTTTTCTTCCTAAGTAAGACAGTTCAAGAATATGAGTAGAACAAAATTGAACGAGGAAATGATGTTCACAACAAGAAAAGTAAGTTATGTGATTATTCAGTTGCACTGATGATTGAGACTATTATTGTATACGACTTATAGTTCGATTACTAACTATCAACAACCACTGGATATCGACTACAGCAAAAAAAGGATCTTAATACGGACACAATTCGAAAAACCACTTCAAACGGGCTGTGTATGGCCGGTCTTAAGCAGTTGTCCACTGGACTCTGTGGTCAGGCTTAGGGGGGATTTGATTACTGCCTACAAAATAACAAATGACTAGAATCACCTAAAAAAAGGTGTTCTGCCATTGAGTAGGTATAGGCTTCCTCGTGGAAATCCCAAAGGGATAGCTCACCAGAAGGCGAGGAGCCGAGTGCGCTTCTACTTCTTTTCACTGCGGGTTTGCCATCCCTGGAACTCCTTAACGGCAGATGTAGCTATGGCAACGTCTGTGGACACCTTTAAGCGAAGGCTGGACAACCATGCAGCGACACAAGGACTGTGTCCGAATCGCCTATCCCTTTTAAAATTCCATACACCATTCAAGGGTGGACAACTAAATTCGTCGTTCTACTTCTTTACATTCTCTCTCGTCTTACTCTCCTGACAACTCTAACTACTACACTTATTATTATTACTACTGGTATTATATATAAATATATCAACTTCAAATTTAATTAACTGTCGGTTTTTACGTTTTCTTTTCCTGTCTTTTAGTCTGAATAACTTCACTAATTATATCTATTATTATCTCTTTTCTTTTAACGACGATACCGGAGGACTAAGTGGTGAAAGGATCAACTCCATTCACAGCAGCAACAGTCTTCACACCGCATACTACAAACAAAATATAATTAACCCCAGCACTACTCCTTTTGGAGTCAACCAAAGCTACGACAGTAGAGTGGCGGGACGAGCTACGTAGAAGTCTACCGAAGATTAGGAACCTTTACCTCATAATCAAGAGGCGAGCACAAAGAAATCAAATTGGTTTATACTAGCTCGTTAAAACGATATTGGATATTGGAATGTTCCTTCAGTTTCAGGAGGAATCTACCTTTAAGTTGTGGTCTACAGGGAAGTAATAACCGCCTACATACTTTCATAAGCTCACAAAGCTTTCCTCATCATCACCCACCTTCAACACCAACTATATCATCTTCTTGCATTCTTTTGACGGGTAGGTTTTCTGTCTTTTATTAGCTCTGAGAGCAGAGCAGAGAAAACGCCACTGATAATCTCTCAAAAACCAACTTCATATTGAAGTATTCAACGTAAGGATTCTACCAAATCGGACAACAGGCTACACTAACTAGAACTCAGACACATCGAGCTATGGATAATAATAATAATAATGGCTTTATTCCAAACAGTATTTGTGGTACAGGTATGGAATTTTCAGCGCGCATTACAATATTGCATCTAATTACCTCATAAATTTTATAAGGATTTAGAAATATAAAGCAACAACAACAAAAAGAAAAAGAGAAATAAAAGAAAAAAAAGAACAGCATTGCATTCACATATTTAAACAATGCACCACAGGATATGATATATAAAATTAGTCTGTAATAGAATATATGAGCAACAATATAATAGTAACAAAGAAAGGAGAACAAAAGCTAATGGGAACTATTTGTTAGAGTGCCGCAGTAAATTGATCATGTCATGCCTAACAGTTTTCTCATCACATAACAGCTGTGCCAGATAAGGTATTGTGGAGTTTTTATACTTGGTAGTCCTGGCATATAGCTTCCTATAGTTGCTTCTAGTTCTACCAGATGAAATGCAAGGAGAGAGCTGCGTATGGAGAGGGTGTTCGGGGTCTGACAATATAGAATTTGCTAGTTTCTTACATGACATTATATGTCTATCCACAATTGTGTTAACCAGTTGGTTTAACGAAATCCCACTTGCCCTACTAACAGCTTTTAGTGCCCTATGCAGCGAAGCAAAGTCTTTCTTAAGTAGTCCAGGAAAGATTAATGGGGAGCAGTAAAGAGGGATGGGTAGAATACAGGAATTGACAAACTGAGAAAGTAAAGACTGCATGCTATGTTCCAGAGAAAGGCATATAAGACCTTAGTATGGTTATCAGAGAATATAGAGTAGCAGTGAAAAGATATGTATTCTTTTATATCGACGCATGTAGACAACTATGGATACTAGTTTCATTGGGCAGATGAAGACATTTTAAACAGTGGCGACACAAAAATTGCCAGGGAATTCCTGCAAACCTGGTGCTTAGACTGATCAACAATTAACAGACATACTGCTATAGATCGAACTTATTAACTAATAAAGAATCAGCCATGTTACACAAAATTTCAGATTCCAAGTCAATAAGAACGATGCAAGTGTTAATAGTCAACCACAACAAAGGTTGTCATGAGATACAATTATATTATTCATGATGAATTCCAACAAATCCACTTTGCGCTAAAGCTTACGCTGAAGATGGTGCCTAGAAGGATAACAACACCTTCGCAACTAAATCACCCAGCTTAGAGGACGCAAACTCATCAATATCACTTAACCCCACCTGGTGTCAACATAGTGAATCTCAAGAATTCACTTTACAGGTGTTAGGAGATTCCCCAGCTAATAAGCATGCACATGTGGGTGTAGGAATAACATAGGGTGCTAGAGAGGGAAAATTTCTACTTGCCTGGATCCCAACAGATAAAAGTATGCGTGTTGTCCGACTGAGTGGATCCGTGAGAAAGGATGACAGTGATACCCGTCGTCCTTATCGTGATCTCCGCCTACGCACAAAACCAATTGCAGTTTGCACGAGGCGAAGGAAGAATTATATCGAAAGCTGTTTAGTTTGCCTTTAAAATGGTTGCTTCAAATGTCATTGAGTTAATAAGAAATATTGCAGAGACTCGATGCTGTGGAAAAACTTTCTCACCATTTGAAGCAACCATTCTTGCAATATGTGAACTATGTTATCAACAGAGAAAAGAAGCGAACCCAGTTTATTCAAAGCCATCGGACCATCAGACGCCTGAAACACGTTTTCTGTCTATTCCGGAACGGTATGTCCACAATTTTTCTAGTGTTGTTTTCGGTATGACTGATTTAGAAGTCTTGCCTCTTGGTCTTAAATTTTGTGACAGTCATAAAAGATCAATAAAAGGGACACACAAGTTCAGTTTGAAAACTCTTATGCTCATACTAAAGACTTAAAACCTTCATCGGATGAAGAGGTTAACAGATTTAAGTTAACTTTAGTCGACTACTGCTGTTATAAATACATGAATAGCAGATTTACTGCTGATAGTATTTTAACCAAAAGATACAAAGATGCATTAAAGAAACTGAAGGCGAATGGTAATTTAGTGATCTTCAAACCCGACAAGGGCTCAGGGGTCTTTATCATGGATAAGTCTGATTATTTAAGAAAATTGGTGACTTTATTAAAGGACGGTCTTAAATGTCAGAAA